ACCAAGTTGAACTTTAGCTATTAAGTAATATTAGCTACTGTTCACTCCAGATAAAATATAACCAATTAAAGATTCACCTCCAATTATATGCAAGTACAATAAATTTTATTTAATTCATTAATGGTATGCACTGATAACTTCTTCAAAAGTAATCGGATTATGTTGTGTATCTCATGTTATTATCCCTGCTCTAAACTCTTCAATTACTTCCCAGCATAGAATAAAATTAACTCCTTGGCATGCCTTGGAGATTCTATATCTGGCCCCTATCTACTTCTCTGACCCTTTCTTCAAATGTTATCCTCACCCTTTATTCTGCTTCAGTTGCACTGCCCTTCTTACTGTTTTGGAAAACCAGTCTTATTCTGGCCTCATTGCCTTTCACTTTCTCTTCTCTTTGCCTGGAAGACTTTTCTTCAGATATTTGCAAATCTTAATCCCTCAGTTCATCATTCAAGTCTCTCTTCAAATGTCACTTCACAGATGATTTTCCTAAAAGTTCCATTCAAATAGTATCATCCTGCCCTTGCCTCTCAATCCCTTACCAGCTTTTTCTTCCTAGTGTCTAGACCGACTGGAAAATATATATTATTTGGTTACATATTTATTGCTTGTTTCCCCTCTAGAATGTCAGCACTGTGGACTTTACCTGTATCCCAGAACCTAGAATAGGGCTTGTCTAAAGTTTAGGATTCAATACATACTTGTTGAATAAATGAATAAACTAATGCAGATTTTTAAGATATGTGTGCAAAAAAAGCAAGAGCAGAATAGTGGACTTGGCAAGCAACCATCTGTATTTTTAAAAGGCACATACAAATTTGTATATGCAGGGGCTCTCTCAGGAAGGGAAGATAGAAACTGATAATGCCAGTTGCCCCATGGTGGGGAAATATGAAGATTTGGGTGACAGGAAGGCTTACTTTCTACTTTGTATTCTTTTTTTACTGTTTGGAGTTTAAACAAGTCTAGATATTTATATTTCAAAAACAAAACAAAACAAAACAAAAAATTATAAAATTTACTGTAAACACAATTATCATTTAATAACAATAAGTTCTACTTATAGCATACTTTCTGTTGAGCACTTACTCTACAGACAGAAGTATGCTAAGCAATTTACATACTTCTCCTTTGATCCTCATAACTATCCTATCATATAGGTATATTATTATCAATCCTGTTTTATAGAAGGAGAAACTAGCACAGAGAGATTAACTGGCTAAAGTCATACTACTGGAAGCATAAGACATGGGATTTGAACTCAAACTGACTGCATGTAAGTTCAGGTATTTAATCACTACTCTCCCTGATATAAATACATAATCCCCATAAAGTTTCTTAAAGAATTAGTTAAAAATATATATTGCCTACTTTTGATAGAAACCTCAGGGCTCAGTACAGGAGCTCTTGAATGAATGTTGAAATAAAACTGAAAGTTCATGACTGTTCTGTGCTTGTCTGATATCATACAGTATCTATTGTAACTGAATATGCTATCAATTGAGAAATCATGGATTAGGTTGCTACGATAACTAGTAATAATAAACAATGATTATCATATAAGCACACTCTATATGCCAGGCATTATGGTAAACACTTGACACTCATCATCTCATTCAATCCTTAAAATAATTACATAACGTAGATTCTACGATTGTCTCCATTTTACAAAAACAGAGACTTAGCTTTAGGAAGAGTAATTTTTCCAAGATGACATAGCTAGTAAGTGGGGAGCCAGAATGTGGACCCAGGTCCAAATCCAAAGTCCACGTTCCTAACAACTATGCTCTACCGGAATCAGTTTCAAACAATGAAACTAAAATTTTGCACAAACTATTCTGAATGTAGAACAATACAGTTATAAATTATTTCTTAAATATAAACTCTAACAATACAGTTATAAATTATTTCTTAAATATAAACTCTAACTTGAATTAGATTCAGATCCAACAAACATTTTTAGGACCATGAACTATCCTTCATACTATTATTTATATTCTCTCTGAAACTTAAACCTCTTTTTTTTTTGAAATAATTTTACCGTTGGAGTAACTGCTTCTACTAATTTACAAGCATCAGGGAACAAAAATTTCAAATGCAAGGAAGGGCAGCACTGACGTCTGTGCTATTTTTTCCTCCTAGTTTTTATAGTTGAGAGCATAAATGTCATTATATGTGCACCTTAATTGATCCAGAGTAGATTTATAGTGGGACAAGATGCACTTTTAAAATGAAAATTTTATGTACTTGTAAATATTTGTTCAATAGCAGAAGCGATTAATTACTAGAGTTAAAGGTAATCTTTGTATGGAAACAGACAATTCTTATAAAATGGAAACTTAATAACAAGCACTATCTAGTCTTTGAATCTTATATTTTCTAGCACCAAAGTTCATAAATACCTCCCAGAATTCAAGGTGGGAGTTGAATGTGGAGGAATAACACTGCTAACCAAAATCTGTAGAATGCCTAACACATTCTACCTGATTGTTAATGGTTAACCTAAACTACGTATTATACAGCAAAATTATTCAGTTCTGCTCAAATCTCTTTTCGTAGGGTAAACAGCATTCAGGCTTGACCTGTTTGTAACTTAGTGTCCGTCTAATGAGCTCCTAAAGGAGTGTTGCAGAAACTAAGAATAATGGTAGAAGAACTGATTATCAGTGCTTAAAGTCCCGTTCATTTGCATCTTCCCAAGCAGTATCTCTTCCGTACCTCATCTGATCCTCAGCAATCTCGTTAGGCAGTGCTGGCAGGTTTTACCTTGATGCTCAGGGTAGGTTCCCGACTGACCTTTGCCAGGCTAACAGCAGAACCACGCCGAACGAAAAGTTTATAAATTGGTGAACCAAGGGTCCTCATTTGATAGTTAAGCCCAGGGTTACATTTATACCTGTGTCTGAAACAAAACACTGAATTTGGAGGCCGGAAGGAACTTTACGCTGTAGGATGCTGGACAGTTAAAGTGCTCTGCAGAAGCCTGGGAGAGAGGCCAGGATGCCCTTTAAAACTTCGACTTCCTCAGATTTTAAGGCAGGAGATTCCTGCCCTTCCTGCTAAGCAGGCGAGAGATCCACATCAGGCAGAGCCATGCTCTAGGGTATTCTCGAGTTCCTTCTTCCTTTTGTTTTCTCCCCAGGGACCCTAACCATTTCCCCCCCCCAACCCCTCCCTCATCCCCAATTTAACGCTTCCATAATTGTCAACGAACCCACCTGGTTTTCTACACATGAGGCGGCGGGACCCCTCAGCATCTAGCAAAACGGGTCATCGAAAGGAGCGTCCGGAGACCAGTTTTCTCCACAAGTACCTCTCTTTCACCGCAGGCCCAAGAGGGGATACCGTCCCTGCTCACTTCGATATCAGCTTCCCGGCGATTCAAACTCAACCAAAAGATTCAAACCCAAGCCAGCTTCCTCAGTGCGTCGTTTCATTGGCTGCCGTCTTCATGACGTCATCACGCCGGACGTTTCCGCGGCGCGCTGCAACTTGGCACCGGGAGTCTCCGCCGCGCGGCCCAGCGGAAGCTGCCCGACTCCGCGTCGCCGTGGCAACGAACAAGGCTGTTTCCGGAGGCGGTGCCCGAGGTGGGCGGGGCTAGGCCGCAGCCGCAGGTGGGAGTTAGCCACCTGGGATCCTCAGGCCACCTCCAGACCCGCGGGCGCGGGGCCGGGTCCCTGGGTTCAGGGTGTGGGTGAGACGGGTGCGGGCGGGGGTTGGTGTGTGCCCTCTGCTAGAGGGAGAGGCGGAGCCTGTTGGGTGTAGATTAATGGATTCTGGGTTTTATTTTCTCCTTTTCTATATTGACTAGTGAGGCCTCCAAAGCACAGGTCCCAGGCTCTGGAAGATGTAGGAACCTGTTTCTTCCAGGTAGTTTCACTTGGACTGAGCTGGGGTCAGTTTGCCTCAGTTAACTGAAAGTCCATGGCTTTTGGTTTGAGGCCTTAGACTTCATGTCTCGGGACTCCCAGGCCTACTCCCTTTATTGCTAACTGTGAATCTATTTGGTGTTGGGCTGTGTTTTTACATTTCTTTGTAGTGATGGCATTATAGAATAAATTCATTGAAATTTATTGGCCTAGTTAATTATTGGATTCAGTGGTACTTTTAAGTCCTAGTTTGTAGGTTTTATTTCAGACAATACACTTTAAAAACAAACAAAAAAAAACCTAGAAAAAAATGAGAAATATGTTTGCTAAGATAACTCTATGAGATTTTTAATAGTAAGATCTGAATTTCATTGTTCTTTGAATTACCATTATCGTATCCATTCAATTATTGTAGAATTTAGGGATATAATAGTACACATTGTGTCAATATTCCTGCCCTCTCAGTGCATATATTCAATATCACCATATAAATAGGATGGTGCAACACCAATGCAGAGTATTAAAGGTGAAATAATGTATGGAAAACCCCTATAATATGGACATTTATTTTTTATTGAAGAAAATCAGAAGCGCTGTATATTGTGATGCATGTTATATGATTGTTTCTGAACATTGGGTAGACCATCAATCAGTAAAGTTACTAGGTTATATTACATATATCTTAGCAAATACAATAGTTATTTGTACGATGCTGAGTTTGGTAATAAAATTTAGAAGCCTTTTTTTATTTTCAGATATACACTCACTGTATCGTACTTTACTTTTGATGTCCTGGGCATTTTATTTACTTTATGTATGTTATCTCATTTAATTCTCTAAACAGCCCATGAGATGTGGGTACTATTTATTTTACTGAAGAAAAAAACTGAAATTTTCAGAAAATCCAAAAAAGGAAAATGTTTTTCTTGAACTGTACAAACAAGCTACTTCGGAATTGAGTAATTTGTGAAATACTTTCCAGATTAAATGATATTAAGATGCTATCTTAATCTAGTCTTAAAAAGAGCATGTTTTACCAATTTTTTGTAAAATTGCATTGATCATTGTTGACTGAGTAAGTAGAGGTCTTTTAAATTTTGTTGTTTTTGACACCTACATTGTTTAAGGCTTACCAGTCTCACAGGTGTTTTCACACCTAATCTAAGTACTTATTTTACATTTAAATTCTGCCTTATACTTGCCATTAGGCAGTGTCCAGCGTTTAGATGAGACTAGTATTTTTAAGGAATATATATTTAGTTAAAGCAGAGAAATTTGAATGTTATAATCAATGTTATTACTGTGTCAGCTCTCTTTGGCAAGACATTTAGTATAATAGGATAAGAGACTCGCATATTTTGTAACGAAATGAAGGAAAAAGAACCAGAATTATTAGAACTATATCGTACTAAGGAAACAAATTCCCACCTTTTTTAGAAATTGGAGTATAACTACCTGCTTGGTTATTGAGAACACAGAAATTTAACATAGGTTCATAGTAAACTGAAAGAGTGGAGATAAGTATAATGGAAAGTTAGATTTAAAGTTGCATCGGGCATTTATAAAAAAAGTAAAAGTGAATTTAAACCCGTCAATGGTAGAGTCTTATCCCTCCACCGCCCACCCCACCCCCGCAAGGAACACCAGTTGGAAACCCCAGCGCCTCCAAGAGCCTTTGGCATCTGGGGGCTGGAAGCGGCGGAACGAAAGGCAGGCGTTCTTCGGTTGCTGGGGCGGACTTGGACCCAATCTGTCCGTCCTTTCAAGTTTCCCCCATGGCTGAGACCAAGGCGTGCGGCGAGTTCAGGTTCTCCGGCACCGTAGTGGTCGTCGTCGGCCCAAGTTAGAGGCCAACTGAGAAATCTTCGTGCCTCAGGTGAGGGGAAAGTGGCCAAGTCCCGGGAGCTCTCCAGGCGCTCACCCCAAGCCTGTGGGCGGAACTTCCAGGGGTCGCCGAATACGCCTAGGACGAAGGAAACACACCTCTGCTCCCTCCCCAGCTCTTGCTTCATCTCCTCCACACTCTGTTCAGAAGTGTCTAAACAGTTTTCCTCGTCAGGGAGTAATTCTTAGGCAAAAGGATGCATTTTTCCCTGTTCCCTTTAGAACTTTCGCTTTCTCTGTGTTTGGTTACCAGCCTCCAGGTCGGGTTTTGCCTTAGGAATTAAGTTTTCAAAGTTTTCTTTGCCGAAAAAGCTGATTGCAGAGATGATAACTGGTAGTACGGTTGAGAAAGTAGTTTTCTAGGTTTCACTCACCCTTGTATTCCCACAATTAGAAGAGTAACCTGACCAATTAAGTGGCCCCAACAGTTTAAACTGAACTTTACTGGCAGAGAAAAAAGTTAACTGACCTATCTAGGAAAAACAAAGTTGGTTCTAGAGGCCACGTTTCCTGACTCCCTGCTTCTTTCCTGTGACCAGAGGGAACTTAAACTGTTAAATCATTTAGGAGGGTTTGGTTCTTGGCTGATTGAAGGAATGCTCTGGGTTATCAGGTAGGAGATTGGGCTACAGAGAACAGGGAAGGAACGCCCTTTGGAGCTTGCCCCCTTCCATTTTTACGGAGGTATTCAAGGAAACAGCTAAAGAGGAAAATTACCTATTGTGGCCCCTTCTACATGTTGACCCAGTTAGTAACCAGTTAGTACATAAGAAAATCTGCAGGTGTTGTACCTTGAACATAATTGAGTAAATACATAGAAAATGAATCCAGAAAAATTAAATGCTGGTAAAGAAAACTTTTTTTTCTGTCTATTCCACTTGTGTTTTCCCTTGTGGTTCCAATTCCTAAACTGAAATTGATGGCTTTGTTTGTTTTTTAATCAAAATCTGGACATACAATGCAGATTGTTTAAACACTCCAGATTGTACTATTTAGACCTATACCCTTTGTTACTCCAGAGTAGTCCAGAGTATATAGAATGTCCAAGTGAAGCAGGACTAAGCAATAGGATATTGACTCCCTAAAAAAAAAAATGTAATTCATGAAATAGTACAAATAGTGTAGTTAAAGTACCGTGCAATTACATAAGTGTATTAAATAGAACCAGTGGGCTGTGTTTATAGCTTAGAGGTTAAGAGTATAGGCTCTGGGGATAGAATACTAGAATTACGGTTTTAGCTTTATGTCTCTCTAGCTATGTGACCTTTCGGCAAAGTACTTTTCTATTTTCCTCATCTTTAAAATGGAAATAATAGTACACACCTCTAAGAGTTGCCGTAAGGATTGAATGAGTTAGTACACGTAGTGTGCTTAGAATTGTAAGGGGTACTTAGTAAGTGCTCAATAAATGTTAGCTTTTATTTTGAAAAATGTTACTACTAGGTTAGATAGTAGTTGGGTTTACTTTGTATAAGCTTTCTGGACAACATAAGGCATAATTCATTTGGCTAATTTGTCACTGCCGCACAACCAAATTTTTACTTAAAGTACTCATTTCCAGTCTACTTTTTATTTTTGTTTTTTTGGGGGAGGGTCATATTTCTCTTGTGTCATTTTTGTTGCACGATTCTGTGGATTGTGTGTTTGGTAAAGTTGACATATCCTCAAGGTAATATCTTATTGATATCATTTACATATAGATAGATATGTGTGTATTCTCTAGTCATTACATGTGATTAAATTTTCAACATTATTCTTTAATTTCTACTGTAAAAGGAAGGGAAGGTATATTTAAGCAGGATTTACATTTCTTGAAGTATGTTGAGAATGTGGTTTTTGGTAGGGTTGGTCAGATGATGAAATTTCCTACAGCAAGATTTGATAAAAATGTTGTTTTTATTGAATCTGAAATTTATCCATCCATTCATATTTTTCTTTTCAGAAAACATTTATTAAGCACCTAGTGTGCATCTGATTTTGTGGACATAAAGATGTAGTCTTTCTCTTAATAATGCATGAGAAAGGAAGAGTAGTGTTATTTTGATACTGTGGTAGCATCAAAAGTTGCTTGCAACCAATTGAGTAAAAAGCATAATGTTTACAAAAGATCTTCTGTTCATGTATTGACAAATGCTTTTTTCCTCAGCACTTTAAAGTTACAAATTACAAAATAAAATGGAGTAAGCAAGTATGAAAAAGTGAAGGAATGTATCAACTTTTTATTTGCTTGTTTTGGGGGGACAGGGGACAGACAAAACAAAAGTGGGTATGAAATGGCTCAGTTGATCGTTTATAAAGTTATAGTTTAAATTGAAAACTTTGCTGATACAGGTTGTGGTGAGCGGATTCCGTCAGAGAATATACATGATGAGTCTGCAAGATTGTCACTCTTCAGGGAGACTAATTGTCTCTCTTCCTTTTTGGATGTCAGTCTTTTTCCAGGGACAGTTTCTCACAAAGTTAAAGAGGGAGATTTAATATTAAGAGAAAAACAAATAGAAGAGCTTGAAAAAAAGACTACCTAAGCTTAAAATAGAATAATATATATGATACCTTCAATCATCCAGATATTGCTTTCAAATAAATAGTAATGCGTTGAATCTAGACTTAATTAGAATTCAAAAAGTATATTTCAGAAAGATGATAATTAAATAAGCAATTTTCATATCTCTGATGGTTAAAACATTAATGGTCTTTGAGCTTATCAGGCCACGTTAAAAATTATATTTTCAGATCATATCTTGGGTTGTTTTGGATTTCTCATTTTGTGTAAGGAGATTAGTCACCTTCGTTTGTTTGAGATGATGAGTCTCACATTTTTTTTCAGTGTTAAATATTGCATATTAGTTTGTTTACCCCCAAGGATTATAGCATTGTTTTATAAAAATCCGACAATCATGATATTTAAATTTTTTTTCTAGATTTGTTGACCTACAGAATGCTTCGATACCCATATTTCTGTAGAACCTGTAAAGAATTTCTTTCATGCTGGTTGGAAGCTGGCATATTTAATTTAGGTGTCTGGCCAAAAAAGATACATGCTACAGCAGAAAGGTATGATGAATACGAAGCCCAAGAGCAAACAGATCAAACTGGAGCTCAAGAGTTACACAGATCTCAAGATAGAGATTTTGAAGCTATGGCTAAATTACATATTCCAGTAATGGTGGATGAAGTTGTTCATTGTTTGGCACCACAAAAAGGGCAGGTAAGTTGATTAGTTTATTTTTTGACACTTAAAAGTGAGATATAATTTACTTAATATTCACAATTTTCAGGTGTATGACTCTGGTTTTTAGTATATTCACAGGTTGTGCAGTCATTACCATTGTATAATTCAGGAACTTTTTCATTAGCCAAATAGGAAACCCCATACCCAGTAGCATTCACTCCCCATTGTCCCCCTTCCCCTTGCTCCTGACAACTACTAATCTGTTTTTTGTCTGTATGGATTTGCTGAATATGGATATTTCATATAAATAGATTCATACAATATATGGCCTTTTATATCTGCCTTCTTAGCATGTTTTCAAGATTCATTGTGTAGCATGTATCTGTAACTTCATTTCCTTTTATTCCTGAATCATTCCATTGTATGGATATGCCACATCTTTTTTTTATCCATTCATAAATTGATGGCACTTATGTTTACACTTTTTGGCTACTATGAATGCTGCTATGAATATTGATCTACAAGTTTTTGTGTGGACAATATGTTTTCAGTTCTCTTGGGTTATATACCTAGGAGTGGAATTGCTGGGTTATATGGTAACTCTATGTTTAACTTTTTGAGAATCTGCCAGACTTTTTCAGAGTTGATTAATTTTGGCAAATAACTTTTACAAGAACATTACACTGGCTAAATGGTTAAGGTATAGAAACTGAATTTTAGTTTACCTTCTTGAAAATTTTAGTATCTTTTCAGGAATGATACTTTTGGAAACAAAGTAAGAATCTGAATTCCTGTTCTGTGTTTTCTTAGACTGTTTTCAGCTACCCCATTGTCTCAGAGTTCTCTAAAGAGGCAAGACAAACACAAGATGTGTGTGGAACAGGGAGAGAGAGAGAGAGAGAGAGAGATTTTTAAAGAATTGACTCATGTGATTATAGAGGTTTAGTGAGTAAAATCTGCACAATAGGCTGTCAGACTGGAGACCCAGGTAAGAATTGTAGTTTGTGTGCAAAGACAGTCTGCCGGCAGAATTCCTTTTTGTTCTACTGAGGCTTTTCATTAGACTGAATGAGGCCCACTTACATTATGGAGCGTAATTTGCTTTACTCAGTCCAGCAGTTTAAATGTTCATTTCATTTAAAAAAATACCCTCACAGAAACATCCAGAATAACCTTTAACCAAATATCTGGTCACCGTGGCCCAACCAAGTTGACACATAAAATTATTTATCACCTAGGTTATTTATAGTGTTGCTGTTAGGATTACATAAGGTCTTAGATATGAAAATACCTTAATATCTATAAAGAGATAAAAAAAATTAGGGGTTATAATAGCCCAAAAGAAAAAGTTAGAAGCTTTCTGAAAATTAAGCACATTTATAAAAGAAAAATTCTTCAAATGTGTCTTTAGAACTTAATAGTGATACTTTTGATCTTGCTGACTTTAAAAATCTGATCTTTTTCTGGAAGTTACTGTTATTATTTAAATTAGTTATTTTCATTTAAAAAGCCAGACTTTGCTGCTTTTTCCAGCATATAATGGCTTAGTGATTAAGAGCAATGATTCTGTAACTGGACTGCGTGGGTTTGAATCATTGTCTAACATGCTTGTGTGCATGTGCACACACACGGCTTTCCTTTTTTTTTTTTTTTTTTTTTGAGACTTCTTTAAGTTAGAGCAGGCAATTTTCATGAACTAAGTTATAAGCTATATGCATAAGGTATGCTAAAATGACTGGATATTCCTCATACATAAGCCATTAATGATATGACTTAGGTTACTTCATCATAAAAACATTCTGTTTACTTTCTCTTCAGGCAGTGTATATATAACAAAATAAACTCAGTATTCTTAAATGACATTATATTTATAGAACGTGTAGCTCAATGCTGTCACATTGTAGGGACTCCACAATATACATGAAAATATGAATTAAAAAATTAAGTGGGATAAAACATCCTATTAAATATGAGTTCATCAAAATGAAATTCTCTTCATTGTCTTTAAAGATTCATAATGCAAGGATAACAATTGTTACCAATACCTAAATATGAGTTTTTTTAAAAGTATATATGAATATATATGATGTGCTTGAGATGCATATGAGAGGGGAGGGGTAGTTAGTCAAAAAGGAGAACTCAGTTTAGTGGAATGAGAAACCAAAGCTCATTGTATAAATTCGGTGAACCTTAGTAGCAAAAGCCACATATTTATGTTGCACTAACCCATGCAGTGGAAAAGCAACCAAACAAAAATAAACCCCACTGCGTCTCCTACTAAATCAGTATTGGATCGATGTTTTTTTCTGGAACCAAGTAGAATAAAAGAAGAGGATTCTACAACTCGACCTACCCTGCTGTTTCATTCTGTTCAAGTTCCTGACAAATATATTGTTGATTTATTTTGACATTCCCATTGTTCTGATTTGAGTTGGGTTTTCTAGCAACTTTTATAGAAAGTTTAATTTTATGAATGCTATTTCTGAAAACTTTCATCTTAGGTAGTGTTATTCCTTACCTTTTCTGCTGTCTGGCAGACAGCTTTATTCACTATTCCCTTAATCTTCAAGTAATAAAGAACTGGTGGCAGTCCTTGGACAGGAAAGGTCTTCATTTCTTCTAGAATCCGTTATTTGCTTTTTTTCTTCCTGAGCTTTTTTCCAAAAATCATTTTCGTTTGCATACTATGAGTCATACACTCACTTGTATCAATCACCCACTTAATTACTGTTTTTCACATCACCTTCAATGGTGAATTACAAATTAAACTTTTGATCATAATAGAAACCTTAAAAAATATCTAATGTAGTTTTGAGTGAGACCTTAGTGATCTAATAGCTATTTCTTTTTCTTTAATATTTAAAAGGTACTTATCTAAAAAATAATTGATTTTAGAAATTTCTTCTATATCATTGCCAATTTGCAATGTATTAATTTAGTTTTGCAAATACATTCAAAATATTGATGAGTTTGGATTAAAATTTTAAAAAAATCATCTTCCTCTCCCTTGGGAGGTACAGAAGGAATTAAATAAATTATAATTCTTTCTCTTTGCCCAGTTTTTATTATTTCATTTTCTGGGTCAATCGCCTTTTGTAAGAATGTATTACTTATTCTAAAAACATTTTTCTTGCTCCTAGAGATGTTTTAATGTAGGCTACCTTGGTTAGTTTTTCATTCCTAATTTCTGAAAATTGGTGAAAATAAGTGTGATCCTGCCTAGTTGAAAAAGGTGGCAGTTGGGAGGATTTAGGAGACTTGGTATTCTTTGCCATTTGTAGTGCTAATTGGGCTTGGTGCCTTGGGGTATCTGTAAGAGTAGTAAGTAATGAGGGAAATGATGGACATGCAAGACATAGTATCAGTAGCTGTGTAATTTTAGACAAATAACTTATCATGGCTGTTCCTCAGATTCCTGTTCTATAAAATGAAGAAATATAACCTACCCCAATTTGGTTATTGTAAGGATTAGATGAGTTCATGTATATAAGAATGATACCTTCCAAATAGTATGAGCTCAATAAACATTAACTTTTTATTATTATGGTGATAGGAAGGGTTGGGTTTGGTAGCTAATACAATAAAATTCAAGAGAATAATGCCAGGAGACAGCAAAGGTGAAAATAAAAGTTTCAGCAAAGGTGGAACCAACATGTCTGGAACTGAAAATGTACTGTTCCTTGTGTCTGGAACTCTCCTCATCACCATCCTTCAGGTCTTGAGTCACATTTTATTTTCCCAGGGAAGCTTTTTCTGAGTCTCCGGAGGAGACAGATTTCTATGTTATTCATTCATGGAGTCATGTATTTTTCTTTCATAGCATTTATAATAATTTATCATTATAATTTTTATGAAGTTATTTGTTCAATGGACGTCTCTCTTAGCAGACTGCCTTCAATGAAACTATGGATATATTTATCTTGTTTACCATTATATTTTCACTTTTTAGCACAAGGCCTACAACATGGTAAGTTTGTAATGATTTTTAAGTTAATAAATAAAAGTCAAAGTAAACTGGAGGACATATGTGAGGCACTAACAAAAGAAGTGTCCTTTGGGTACTGAGGTAGCTTCTTGGGCCCAAGACTTTTTTATGATTCCAGCCTCAGTGTGGAAGGCCCAGTCTGATGAAGTAACTAGAGAAACCTGGTGAAGGAACAGATTCTCGGGCTGAGAAATGAACTGGCATTTAAACTGATGCAAAATAGATTATGATAAATATCAGGCCAAGGTTGGGTTTATAAATATTCAAAATAAATTTCTTATCTTTTTTGATATTCTAACATTTAATGTTTCATACTTACTGGATTTACCAAAGTTGTCATGGTACCAGATATGATCATTTTCTTTATTAAAAAAATTATTATGCTCTGTATAATGGATTTCTTTCAAGATCAGTAGCAACATTTCACTTATTTTACTTGAAAATCTTTATAATCTTTAATTGGGAGTAAACATCAAAGAAAATCCTGAGATTATATGTTTGCTCTCTTTAAATATTGAAAGCTGATTGATCACAGAGAGGAAGAGTTTAATTTATTTTGTTTTACTTCAAATTATTGAAAAAGGAACTTTTCTAAGAGATAGAACCAATGCTATAGCACCTGCAGGGGATGCCTTTTTCATATTAAAGCAAACTTAAAATTTCAGGCGAAATGGATTGTGTGAAGACGTAGTATTCCCTTTCCCTTATTTTTAAAAATATAGGTTTCTTTGAAGCAAATTTTTATTTTACATTTTATTCTACCATTGTTTACTTGAAAAATGTTTTTTCTTAAAAGAATCATGTAGCTAGTTAAGTGATCTTTGCATCGAGATACCTTCTGGAGTATAATATTTCCAGTATTGCATTGCTACATATTTAACACCTAATCTGAGGGGTGGGGTAGAGTGTGGATTTAAAAAAAACAAAACTATGATTTATTTTGTTTGCATATTTCTGTTATTTACATATTTCTACCATGGCCCATTTCAAGCAACCAACCTGATGTGAATGTAGCATTAAGAAGAAATATATACAGTTGGCTCTTTCCAGC